TATATATATATATATATATATATATATATATATATATATATATATCGTCACGAACAGAACTGCTCGGTAAAACCGTAGGCAGAGAGAGAGAAGAGGACAACAAACGAGGGGCTGTGACAAACTGTTTCGTCGGAGTTTCACCGACTCATCAGGAGGCTATATATATATATATATATCGTCACATATATATATATATATATATATATATATATATATCGTCAAATAGAATATATAAGTATATATAAATAAATCTTCATATGAATCCAAATTATGCTATGAAGTATAAAATTCATTGATATATTAATATTTTCATAATTCATTCATACAATTGAATTCATAAAATACAATAATACGAGTATCATATTTGATTTATCAATCTATAAAAATCATTTTTTTGAATAGATATATATATATATATATATATAGTCAAACTGAGCTGCCCGGTAAACCGTAGGCAGAGAGAGAGAAGAGGACAACACCTTTCGCTTTTGCCCCTGATCCTCATCTTCAAGTTACCATCATCTCATCCTCATCACCGAGTCTTCATCTTCATCGCTGTCTCCATCATCATCATCATCATCATCATCATCGTTGTGGGCCGAGTCCCTATTACGCTCTGGACATCGCCATCTCACCATTCCTTATTTGTTGTCGTCATCGTCATCGTCTTCCTTGTAAAGGGGGACGACATTCGACACCTGCCTCTGCCTTTAGGGATGACTACCATGGCCCTGAGAGAGCACGTAAACGAGCCTATTTACGTCCCAGAACGGAACATGCATCTCGGCGTCATCACGGCCACGTACAGTCTGCCAGGGCTTCCCACTTTGGGAAAGTATGGGTTATGCCCCCGCAAGTAAAATGCTTCTGTCCAAATGTGGCCTTGGCGCTGTTCAACTTATCACTTACCCAAAGTTGGAAGCCTTGGCAGACTGTACGTGGCCGTGATGACGCCCAGATGCATTGCGGGGCTGTACAATGTTTTTTCTCTGGGTATAGATGCACGTTGTCGCTGGGACTGGGTAGGTATTCCCATCTTCAAGTGGGGTACAGATGCAATTTTCCCTTCTTTGTTCTTTATTAAATAAACAAACCGACAGTCCGGGTCGGTGCTAGGGGTGCTGATAAGGTGGCTGTAGAATTTGAGGTGTCCCCAGTTGTGACCATAAGTTCGTGCGACCTACGGGTCCCGACTTGGCCCTGGGCATAACAGAATGTTACACACCCAATCTTTTTCACTTTTTTTTTCACCCCAGCTCACTTATAGATCGGAGCTTCACTTTCACTTTTTTTTTCACCCCAATTTTTTTCGCCGTAGAAATTATACTATGGGCAGTGTGGCTGTGTAGGATGAGTGTGGTTGGGCACACCTTGTCGCGGGATGGGGTAGTGTGAAGTGCCCACGTCGGAGCTTCACTTTCACTCCAGCCCGCTTAGCCTTATGGTTAGGTGTTTGCCTGCCGAGCCGAGAGTTGTGTGGTTGAGTCCTGTATTCAACATACACAGCTGAACACGGACGAAAAAAACCGATTCCAGATGTGCCCTCAGCCCCTCTTCCAGGCACAAGGCTGAGAAGGCCCGTTGGGATCATGTACGGGCTTATGGGATGACTTGTTGTGGGGAAACATCGCACTAAACATCGCACTATTCCTAGCAGAGTGTCGTTCCAAACCCCTGGCAAGAATGGCAGTGCAAGTCTAAGGCACATGTGCATGTGCGCATGTGCGTATTTTGTTTGCTCGCGTGAGAAGTTTGCAGAGATTACCACCACAAATAAAAAATACAGTGCAGGAGTTTTCTGTAGCAACACCTGTGTTGTCATGTTTGCTACAGAAAACTCCACATAAAAAGTATTGACTGTGACAGCTGTTTTGTCTGCGAAAGCCCCTACAGTCTGCCCAGGATGCATTTGACTGACGGAAAATGACTCACGATGTCCCCTAGAGTTAGCAATACCCCTGTGGTTGACCTTTTTTTATATCTTTTTTTTTTTTTTTTTTTTTAAACAAGCCCCTGTGGTTGACTTTACTCACACCAACCCTGTATTCCTAGCAGAGTAGTCGTTCCAAAACCCTGACAAGAATGACAGTAAGTCTGAGGCACATGTGTATGTGTGCATGTGCGCATGCAGCACAGTGAGACGTATGGAATGGCCATTTTGTTTGCTTGCGTGAGAAGTTTGCAGAGATTACAGGCAGCAACTTGGTTTTTCCTTTTTTTTTGGTTTTGGACTTGTATTATTGAACTTATTGTATACTTTCTTTTTTCACATGGTTCTGTTCCTTATTTCGTCTTGTGTTAAAGGCACGTAACATTATGCATATATATGGCAAAAGTCTTGTTCAAGGACATTTTCAACATGTTTTGCACTTGTTTCTTCGTCTTTCACACACACACACATGCACACACACACACACACACACACATACAAACACACACACACACACACACACACACACACACACACACACACACACACACACACACACAGAGTTTGTGGTATGTTTGTGTTTCCGCCTCTCCCCTACTTTTTTCTAAGTATCTTTGTATGCCCAACTGAGCACCTTAACGTAGTGCCAAACAGTCGGTGGTTCCTCGTTTGGGGTGCCTACTGCACTCTTATGGGGGCCGCTCAGTTCGGGATGTGTGTGTTGCCTGTAAGTGA